TCTTCATATGGGACCTGTTCCCAATCCCTGATCATTTTAGTTGCCCTCCCCTCTCCCACCTCCTTTTCCCAGTCTCCCCAAGTTTTGTTCAATAAAGAGAGTTTCTATTTTTGAACACACGTGTCCTTTATTTTGTACATCAGGAAGGGGGGCTAGGGAGGGGTAAGTGGAAGGAGGTGAGGGAGGAATGGGGCACGAGCCCCCGATCGGGAGGAACGGGGTGGCTCTGTGGGCTCCTTGGGGTGGAAGCTCTCCTGCAGCCCCCCAATTGACACACACCAGTTTTGTTCAATAAAGAGAGTTTCTATTTTTGAACACACGTGTCCTTTATTTTGTACATCAGGAAGGGGGGCTAGGGAGGGGTAAGTGGAAGGAGGTGAGGGAGGAATGGGGCACGAGCCCCCGATCGGGAGGAACGGGGTGGCTCTGTGGGCTCCTTGGGGTGGAAGCTCTCCTGCAGCCCCCCAATTGACACACACCCCCCGGATGGCAGCCTGCGGCAAGTGCAGCCGGACTGATGGCTGAGTGCTGTGATGTGCTGAGTGTGGGCATTCAGGGCACTACAAGCCAGGACTTCTTTGCTGTCCCTCATCTAATTAGACAAGGGAGCGGGGAACCCCTGAGAACTGTCTGTCCAGGGTGGGGGTCGGGTCCCTTTAACCACAGCCCTCGCCTATCCTGAGACAGCAGCTCCATGCTCTAAGTTCTAACCTGATGCCCTTCCAGCACTGCTTCCGGCCATCCTTAACCTCGGTTCAGGGTCCAATGTGGACATGCTAGTTCGAATTAGCAAAACACTAATTCGAACTAGTTTTTAGGTCTAGATGCACTAGTTCGAATTAGCTTAGTTCGAATTAGTGCTGTAGTGTAGACATACCCTCTGACACTGAGCATGTGGGCGAGACCTATTAGCCAGACACCTGGGAAAGAATTCTCTGAAGTAATTCAGAGCCCTCCCCATCTAGTCCCATCACCAGCCACTGGGGATTTTTGCTACTGGCAGTCACTTATAGGCCACATGCCATTGTAGGCAGGCTTTCATACCATCATCTCCATAAACTTATCATGCTCAGTCTTTAAACCAGTTAGATTTTTGTCCCCACTACTCCCATTGGAAGGCTGTTCCAGAACTTTACCCCTTGGATATTTAGAAACCTTTTTCTAATTTCAAACCTAAGGTTGTTGATCGCCAATTTATACCCTTTTGTTATTGTGTCCACACGGGTGCTTAACTTAAAAAATTCGTCCCCATCCCTGGTATTTATCCCTCTGATGTATTTATAGACAGCAGTCATAAGGTACGTCTCTATACAGCAGTATTATTTCGGAATAACTGACATTATTTCCTTATTTCAAAATAATTTTGAGCTGGAGGACTTCTTACTCCGACTTCTGTAACCTTCATTTCATGAGGGTACGGGAAGTCAAAGGGAGAGTGTTCTTCCTTTGACTTCCTGCTGTGTAGACAGCGCCAGAAGCCAAATTAAGGTATTTTGACTTCAGCTACATAATTGGCATAGCTGAAGTTGCATAGCTTAATTCAACTTTTGCCCTGCAGTGTAGACATGCCCTGTATATTTGCCTTCAGCCTTCATTTGGTTGGGCTACACAATCCAAGCTCTTTGAGTCTCCTCTTGTAAAATAGGTTTTCCATTCCTCAGATCAGCCTAGTAGTCCTCCTCTGCATCTGTTCCAGTTTGAATTCCTTGTTCTTAAACATGGGAGACCAGCATCATGCACAATATTCCAGGTGAGATCTCACCAGTCCTTGTGTCTCTTCTCTATCTCTTCTGGAAATACCTTTCCTAATGCATCCTAGTACTGCATTAGCCTCTTCATGGCTGCATCCCAGTGATGTCTCAGTCATCCTGTGATCAACCAGTCATGCAGGTCTTTCTCCTTCTCTATTATTTCCAACTGATAAATCCCTAGTTAATAGAAAAATTCATGTTGTTAGTTCCTAAACACATGCCCTTGTGTAACCCTCACACCTAGTGAGGTTCACTGTCTCTCACTAGCACTTAAACCACTTACAGCCAGAGAAAAAAACAACTGAGCTCTATAGCCTAAGATGAGAGCCAGCTGGCTTTGTAGCTCAAGCTGTAGAGGCTCCTATAATTGAGATCCCAAGTTCAAATCCACCCAGTGGATTACACTTATACTTATTAAAATTCATCCCATTTCTATTAATCCAGTTTATAAGGTCATCCAGATATCCCAGTCCTTTTCTGTATTGGCTATGCCTCCCAACTTTGTGTATCCTCAGATTTTATTAGCACATTCCCACTTTTTGCTCCAGAATCAGTAATAAAAATGTTAAAGTCCCCAAATCAATCCCTGAGGAACTATACTAGTAACCTCCCTCCAACCTGACAATTAGCCTTTCAGTGTGACTTGTTGTAGTCTCCCTTTTAACCAGTTCCTTATTCACCTTTTAGATGTCATTAACCCTCATCTTCTCTAAATTAACTAATAATTTCCCATGTAGATCTGTATCGAATGCCTTACCAAATCCAGGTAGATTAGATCAACTGGATTTTCCTTGTCTTAAAAATCAGTTATCTTCTCAATGAAGGAGATCAGGTTGGTCTGGAATGATTTACCTTTTGTAAAATCATGTATTTTATCTCAGTTACCATTCACCTTTATGTCCGTAACCACATTTAAAAAAAAATTTGTTCCCCCCTTTCTTAAAAATAGGAACTATATTAGCAATTCTCCAAACCCTTGAGTTTACAGATTCATTAAAAATCTTTACTATTGGGCTTGCAAATGCAAGTTCTTTTAATTTTCTTGGATGGAGATTATCTGGGGCCTCCAATTTAGTCATGCTAAGCTATTTGAATTTGTCTTCCATCTCTAATGTGATTTCAACCTACATATCCTGGTTCTCATTAGCCACCATACCACTGCCCCTAAGATCTTCATTAGCCTCTTTAAAAATTTAGGAAAGATATTTGTTTTGGTGTTGGGCCATGTCTAGATCATCTTCACTCTCCGCCCCATGCTCAGTGCTTAGCAGTCCCACTTCTTTCCTTGTTTTCTTATGCATATGCCTATTGAACCTTTTACCATTGACTTTAATTCCCTTTGCAAGTTCCACCTCTGCTTGGCTTTTGGCAGTTCTCACTTTATCCCGGCACTTTCGGACCAGCAAAAGGTAGTTTCCCTTGCTGTCACTCTTGTCTTCCATTCCACTCTTTTCTGCTTTCTCTTAATCACCTGTTTGAGATGCTTGCTCATCCAGTTTGGTCTGCAAC